TCTCTCTCTCTCTCTCACCCCCCCCACCCCCACCACACACACACATAATTTCGGTGAGGGGAGACGGAAAAAGAATTGCCGCGACGGAGAGAAACTGAATGGAAAACAACAATGCTTCTTTAAGGCCGTTAATAATAACTGAAGTGATTCATTACAATTTAAAACAAGGTGAAAACAAAAGCGTATGAATGATATTCCTGTTATTTATTTTACCCAATACAGTCGAGAAACCCTTTGAGCAACTCAGCTTATTCGTCCTCCCCGCATTTGACTCTACCTTGGCTATTATGACTGTTATTGCCACGATTATTAATCGTTTATTTGCCCTACGGAGGAAGCACGTACCTGGACGCTTCATACTTGAGCTGCATCATATTTTGTTGTTGATGACGTTGTTGATTTGTTTGTTGTTGTTGTTTTTTTCATTTTGTTTTCGTATTGCCTAAGGCTCCTGTTAGAATGGCGTCTTTGAATCTGCCTTCGCTGGGTGCCTCAAATAATGAACACGAGGGGGTTTTTCTTCCAACGGGCGCGAAGTTCGCCGCCGAGTTTCGGGCGGGCGGAGCGGCACAGCCAGGCGCCCTGAAATCCGGGTCCCCGGGAACCTCCCCGCTGCTTCGGCAAAAGGAGCACAACATGGAAAAATTGGACGCCACTTCAGCTCCCCGTAAGAAAGTCGTTGGTGTTACCCTCAAGGGAGAGTCCACCTCGCACAAGGAGAAAATTAAGCAACTCGAGTCATTCATGTCCGTAAGCTGCGCACGGCATGTGCCAGAGCCGCAGCGAGGCACAAATATAAGGAAAGTCTTGGATGATTTGGGTCGACTTGAGCCCTCAATTTCGGGGATTATTTTATCACTGCGACGGTACTTGAAGGAGATCGTAGCCACGACAGAAAGCGAGCGAGAGTCGCTGCGGTCTGAAATAAAAAATTTAGAAGAGCGCACTTTCAAGAAGTGTGAAGATTTTTTTGAAACTCGAATTCTTCAGCTTATGCGGGACAAGAAAAAGTCAGAGGCAGCGACGAAACATTTACGCGACGAGGTGCTCAAATTGAGAATAGAGCGAGATGAGGATCTTATGAAGGCAAAGGAAGATGTCATGATACGCTTGAATGATTGTGAGAGAAAAGAAGATGAATTTCGTTCATTTCGAAGACTTATCGCATCGGTTTTCAAAACGAATGAGGGTCTTGTGAATCGTGTAGATGACCTGGAGACACTTCTTCGAAAGCATCGCATTGAGGTTCCACGGGTGAACGAGGATCTATATGCGTACAGTAAGCCAAAAGGCGAAGCTGCGGCTTCCAAGCGTGCCGCTGACGACGTTAAAAAGATACGTGATCAGGTGTCTCTGGAGTTTATGGAGGCGTCAAGGCAAGAAATGAATCTCGCTCGTCTTTCGCTTCAACGAGAACTGCTAAATAGCGCCTTTGATGATAGAACAGCATATCGACTTCAGGTGAATGGTCTGCGTCATGAAAATTTGTCTCTTCAGACACAAATTGAGGCACTACAAAATCAAGTTCTGGGTCTTGAAAGATACATTCATGAAAGACGCTTTGTGTCTTCAGGGAAGAATAACGGTGAAGTCCCACTAACGCCAAGACCGAGAGATGTCCCATTTGCCATTCAGACGGACCTTGGAATTGACTTGAGGAACAGCACGGCGCGAATTGTAGCAGAGCTTGCGGCAGTGGGAACAAACCTAAAACATCAATTAAATTCCGCCGTGATGACGCTTCGTCAGTTAACTTCTGCAGTGGAATGGATGGAGGATGAAACCATGTTGAAAATTGCGGATGATGCAGACATTCGAGGAGTTCTCCCAACATTTCCAACTTCGACGTGGGCAACCATACCACATTTTTTGCGTACGCATATTGAGCCAGATGTTACGAACCTTCGATGGACTGAAACGGAAATAGCCTTTTTATTATCTGATTTTTTTTCCAGGTATTCGTCGTTGAGGATGGCATGCCGCTCCGTTCGTGACTCAAAGATGCTTTACCCTCGTCAATATCAATTGTTTGAGCGTTGTCAACATCCACTGGTGCAATTAGATGCGTCGTTGGATGACACCCAAAAGGATGACAACAATGTTCCTTTTGGTTATGTGGTATCCTACTTTGTTTCCACCATACTCATGACGCAGACGGCAGACTCGCCTTATTCCGGCCTACTTCAACCTGGGACTCTCAATCCAACTTATTCAAGTGGTGGCAAAATTACTCCCGTTGAAATGGAGTTTGGAAAATACAGCTACAACATATGGTATGCTGCTCAACGATACAAGGAGCAACAACCACTGTGTCGGTTATTTGTGGATGTAGTCGATGGAAGGTTACCAGTAAAGCTTTTTGAGGTGATGAGGCATGTCCTACGTGTTGTGGAGACGCGTATTCGTAAATCGGACGTGGATGGAAGTGGCTCATTTACCTATAATAAGTTGGTGAGCTCTGTGCTTAAGCTGGTCGCAGATATGGATGCACAAGTTGGGCGTTGTGCAGTTCTCGCAGTGTTGGAAACCTTTCAAGTGAACAAGGCCCCTTTAATAGGGGGGAGAATATTTATTCCATCTATATTGGCAGACGAAACATGTGTGGAGAAGAGTGATTCCCCTCGAGGTCGGTCTTTGCGTTCGCTGACGGATGCGCGGTCTCGGAAGAGTCGCTTAAATGAAGTGCCTCAAGGTGCTTCTGTCCTCACCCGTTTTTGGCGCCGGTTGGTGATTCAACGTTACGAAAGAGAATACCGTCTCATGGAACGGATTCTCGGGCCACTGGTCGTAGAAAGTCAGGTGGTCGTTGGGCTCTTCTTGCTACCTGTTCCAAGTGCGCTGCAGGCCGCGAAGAAGTTTGATAGCCAGTGCCGGAGCATGACGGAGGAGGACTTCGACACGAATTTTCCTCTCATTTCAGAGAATAAGGTTCCAGGTGAGGAGAAGTTGGAGCGCGTGTCGGAGACGCAGCTAGCCACCCCCCGCTTCACCGATGAATACGCAAACCTTTTGGCCCCACGTAAACCCCCGCTTCGAGCAGCCAAAGGTATTTTGATGGAGGAACTTTTAAAGACCACCTTGGAAAATGTCCCACTAATCAGTCGCTCCATGCACTTTCCGGCGCATGAGGAGGCGGCAGCAGTGGCGGAGGAGAAACCCCCGGAACCTCCCGGGGTTGAGGAGGCAAATAGCACACCGGTAAGGACAGCGGTGGCGGGAACGAATGCCACTGCAAGGAGGAGCCGAAGGAAAGCCAAAGCGAAGGGGAACTCAAGGTCAACGACAGTAAGAGTGGAGGAAATGAGTGAAAGCGTCTCAAAACCGCCGCTGTCAGACATTATACCCTCTGCAATAATGGTGCATGCCGACAAAGAGCTGGCAGAGTGGTACGGTTTCTGTGCTATCCTACGACAAACCCTCCCCAAATTTTACGAAGCCATTTTTAGTGATGGAAACTTTCAAGGAGATCACGTGCAACTTTCAAGTAGATCCTCCGAGTTTCCTGTGCTGCACGCTGAGGAGTTATCTGAGTCCACCGCTTGATGTAAAGCAATGTAAATGCATTTCCCCACCCCACCCTCTTTTATCTTGCTACTTCGTCACTGGCACCCATGAAACTTGTTTTTCTGCTTGTGAGTACTCATTTGTTATTTTCGTACTCTGCACCCGAGTCGTCGTCATTGTTGTCGTGACTATTTGCGTTGGTTGCGAGCGAGGTGGGTCATTCGTGCTCCGATACACATGTGCACCGCATATTTTTATGTCACACACTAGGCATTCGTTTTTCCTTTATTAGCGTACCCCAGCTGTTTCATGCTGGGTTTGTTGATTTCCACCGTTGCTTTTCTCCGGCCTTCTTTATATATATACATATATATATATTTGCTGCTTTTGTTCCTGTTCCCCTTTACCTGCTGCGTTGTCATGCATAAAGACGGAAAAGCAGTATGGCGTCTAACATCACCCAGGAGCGCTACGAGCAGCTGAAGAAGGAGCGTACTTTCCACAAGTTCACGTACCGCGGCCTCGAGATTGACCCACTGTTGGCCCTCTCTGAGGAGGAGTTCAAAACCCTGGTTCATGCCCGCGCCCGTCGTCACATGAACCGCCACGCCAACATTCGTGCCCCCGTGCTGCTGAAGCGTCTGCGCGAGGCGAAGAAGGATGTGAAGGCGGGCGAGAAGCCAAGGGCCGTGAAGACGCACCTTCGCGATGTCGTCATCACACCCGAAATGGTGGGCTCTGTGGTCGGTATCTACAACGGCCGTCAGTTCAACGCGGTGGAGATTAAGGGTGAGATGATTGGACACTACCTTGGCGAGTTCTCCATGACGTACAAGCCCGTCATGCACGGCCGTCCCGGTGTTGGCGCCACGCACTCGTCTC